TGCGCGCGTATCCTTTGATGCAAAATGCAGCTCTGGCCTGCATCTCCCTCATCGCCCACCCCACGCCGTCTGAGGCGGCCAAGCCACCCAAATCTATTCCCTGCAGGGTGTAAAACCTAAACTCAAATAGGTCCACCCTGGTCAACAACACACCTACATCAACATCTTTTTGCTGCCGCTGTTGAAAATATCCTGAAAATCTGGTCAGATGATTTCTGGCAGGACGGCTCCGGCCTTGAAAAGTGAAGCGCCGCCTCAGCTTGGTTGTATATTTCCAGGCAGTATTTAAGGATCACACCAAAAAATGTACGGCTTCCACAAGTTTTAGGTTCAAATACGCAAGCGTCTAAATTACAATCCCTGATACATGCCCAGCTTCCACGTTGATATTCTCCATGACTGCGATGAAATAGGTAAATATTCAGGCTTGTAGACCCTAAGCCCTACACCCAAAGTCTTGAATTTTTTTCCACACCATTGCATTCAAAGCGAAGTTTTACGTCACCCACAAAGATTTAGAAAGTGAACATCCACTCCAACGTCTTTGAGCGGCTTGATAAAAAAAAAAAAAATCAAATCCTTTAGAGACTCATCCCATGAGATTTCAAACCCTCAATCCCGAACCTTATGTTTCACCTCCTGATTCCTGGACCCTAAACCCAAAGTGCTAAATCCCAAGCCTTAAATCCTAAACCGAAGCCCTGGGACCTAAACCTGAACCCTAAATCCTAAGCCCAAACCATACGGCCTGAGTTCTTATAAACCTGAGTCCTTAATTTTGGAAGATCCCGCAGGGCTACTCCGGCCTTAAGCCACTAAACCCCAAGCCCCAAGCCCCAAACGCCAAACCCCAACCCCTAAAGTTAGGGTTTGGGGTTTAGGGCTGAGGGTACCCTGAACCTTTGAGCCTAAGCCCTAAACCGGGCAGCTTCTGGAGCTCTTCATCCTCAGTTTCGGCGAGGCCCACAAGGCGCGCCTGGCCCAGGACCACTTTAGCAGAGCTAGGGCTATTTAGGGCTTTGGGTTTAGGGAGTACATCGCTGATTTCGGCGTCGGGCTCCAGGTGTAGGGCTCAGGGCTAGGGCTCAAAGTTAGGGCTCAGGTTTGGGTCTAGAATGTCGGGTTTGGGGCGTATAAAGTTCGGGGTACCTCCGCACGCTGCGAGCAAGGCATCAGAATCAAGCTTTTCAAACACAAGATTGACATGGAAATTCGGCTTCTCCAAAGTGAAGCGTAAGATGTTTTGATCATGGCTCAGTTTGGGTCAGAGGGCGGATGTTATTACAGCAGGACACCACAGACATCGCATGAGAAAGAGGCTTATCAGTCGAAGGTCGGAAGAACTAGTAAAACTATTTGGGTTTAGAGTGTAAAGTTTAAGGATTTGGGGGCTTAGGGTTTTTGGATTTTTGGGTTTAGGGATTCTGGGGCTTAGGGTTTAGGGTTTGTGGTTCGGGGTTTAGACTTTAGATATTTGGGTTTTAGGGTTTTGGGTCTTGATTGGGGTTTGTGGCTTAGGATGTTGGGTCTAAGGGTTCGGCTTAAGGTGTACGTGTACGAGAATAATCCCCTCCCGCTGACACCACGCATCCCCCTAATAAAAAATTCCCCCGTATAGTACCATGTATGTTAGGATTATTACCAATTACCAAAATTCATATGACAGTGGCCAAATGCAATCGTATTGCATGCTCTCGGAGGTCCATGGGTACCTCTTACCCACTAATGCCTGTCGTTACAACTGAGAACGTAACTATCAACATAAGCTCACAAAGTCCCCAATAATTTGGCTATAGTAGGGCTGTCAATTAAGGTATGACTACTCGGGTTATAAGTACTGAAATTCTGGGAGTAATGCAGGGGCCGGGTTTAGGGTTTAGGGCGGGACAATGGAAAATCAAGTGGAAATTGAAATGGAGGTTGAATTTACATGGGAAGTTGCCCTGCACTACTCCATGCAGCGTAGAAACCTCCATAGTCTCCAACATTATGGTCCAAAGTTCCTGATATGTTTCTAGTCATGGTGTGACTTACCTCAAGCAAACCTCAAAACAGATCGGCTACCATTTAGGCCTCTGTGGTATGTCAACAATAGCCATATTTGGTAACTCCTTGGCACACGACGTGGCCGAACAAAACGCTACAAGAGCCTTACGGATTACAGCAACATGTTCGGGCGCGACCCTAAACCCTAAACCGCAGCTGGAACAGGAGAAGCTTACGGGTAGGGATCCCATGGACCCCCTCGAGTTGTTCCTCATTTCATCTGAAGAGGCTTGAAAAATCTGGGATCCCAAATGTTGATCAGTACGCACTGACTTCCACCCAAAAGGATTCCAAAAATGAACCACCCCGCAAAAAAATGAATCTGCATGAGAAAATCAAGCCAATATTGGGAGGTTCAAGGATTCCTTAGGAGGGCTGGAACCTCTGCATGTTCTCTGCCAAGGCCCCACGATCCCCAAACATTTTCCCTCATGGTCTTTAGTTCAACCCCCGCATCCCCAAAACCCTGAGCTCTAAGCAACAGTTTCACTTGCAAACAACACTCCTGGTTTCTCTGAGCCTTAAACGGTTTAGAGTTTTTCGGTTTACGGTTTAGGTTTAGGGCTTAGGGTTTAGGGTTTAGGTTTAGGGTTCAAGCTTTAGGGTTCAAGGTTTCGGGTTTAACCCCAATGCCAAAACCCTAAATCCCACACCGCGCTTCAAGCCTGATCCCCGGGTGACCAGTCTGCATCATCGACTTCCGCCTCCGCATATCCGAAAGCTAACTCTTTCAGCTCTAAAGATTTGGGGTTTAGGGTTTAGGGCCTAGCTTCAGGACTTAGGGCCCATTCTCCGTTAGCAAACTTGTAGCCCCACACGTGGCCTTGTGAGAAGAACTGTAGTCTTGATGGGCCCCAAGCCTTAAACCCTGAACCCTAAACCCTACACCCCATACCCTGTGCCCTCTGCGCGTTTGGGGGTTCCATTGTGTTTGGAAGAGTGTGGGCTTCGGGGCTGGCCATATGACCAAGGATGCTAAAGCTTATATGAGCTATAGTTTAAGCCCCTTATAGGCGGGTTAAGGGTTTTCGGATTTATAGGGAATTCAATGGGATTATATAGGGTCATACAGGGTTTAAGGATTAAAGTTAGGGTTTAGGGTGTTGGGTCTAAACTCTTTAAAGGCGGGTTATCTCGGAAATTACATAGGGGGCTACTGTTAGGGGTTATTAACGGGGATAGTCGGTTTTTAGCTCATATGAACTTGACATGCATTTTGAAGGACCTGGGGTAAGCCTATATTTTATATCCTGAATAACCCTACTGCAAGCCTAAACCTTGAACCCAAAGTAGCTTCGCGAACCTCATTAGTCACCTCAGGGCCCTACAAAGTAGAATTCCATGGAATGAAATCAGCTCCCAAACCTTCCTTAAACCCTAAACTGTAAGCCCCAAAGCAGTTCAGGGTTTAGGGTGAAGGGGTTTAGAAGGGCCCCAACAACTTTTCAGGGCTCCCACACGGCAGCTTCTCTTGCGCAGGTCTTCCTCAAACCCCAACTTCCTACCATGCGCTCGCTGAGGGAAAACTTCAAAGTAGGTTAACGGCTTGGGGTTTACGACCTTTCTTTCGTGTGATGGGAAGTAGGGTTTCTACCCTGCGTATACACGGAATTTATCAAGGTATGTATAGGTAAGAAACAAAGACACCTGGGCTGCTCGTTACAAAAGCCCTGTATTGAAAGTTTAACTTTCAACTCTCTTAACATGGCCAAGAGAACCTCAACAGTTACAAAGTGCTCATCGTCAAATCATTCGGATCCGATTGCTGTAGCCGATGCCCTGAATCCCCCTCGCACCTCCACTAATGTCAAATTAGGTCAAGCAAAGACACTTGCACGTCAGCCAAATATTTTCCGAAGCCAAGGCGACGGTCCATGCGCATAGAAGAGGGAGGCGCCAGGAGGAGAAGGTTGACTGCTGTCAAGCTGCTAAAGGGGTCGCCAGGGTAGAAGGCTGCCAGGGATGTACCTATCAAGCTGACAAGCCAAGGCGCAAGACTCAAAATCTACAAAACAGCGTCGGTTTGCGCATGCCTTATAGGTTGCTCTGGGGGAGCGTCATGCCCTCAAAGCCACGAGCCATGGTAAGTGACGGTACCTGAACTGTTCAATCTTCAAGGACACCCTTAAAGAGCTGCGCCCATAAGCATCTGAGTCAGGCTTTGGAGCCACCAGCACAGCCTGCTCGTCCGGAATGCCCTGACCCCCCCTCCCACCCACACCAGGTCTGGCACCACGTAAGGTCGATAGGTCTACAGAAGCTCTCCCACAACTTTCCATAAGGTTCTCAGATCATCTCCCAGTGAATGCATTGCCGCCCCCATAAACCACGCGAAGGTGCCAAGCATCAGACTGCCTTGCACGCCCCATACGCTTTGCATAGCTTCCTTGGTCAGGCGCCAAATATAGAATAACACATGATACACGTGACATTGACATGTGGAGAACATCCATCTGGCCCAGGTCCTGTAGACATGGCCACGCAAGGGAAACCCGAACGGATCCCATCCACCCATAGAGAGATCTGCAGAATACATCCCTGCAATCTCCGCTAGTTTGAAAGCTCAGGAGAAACTGTCATCGTCACACCTTGGGGGTTCACAGAGAGGACGCAACGTGTAAACTGAACGCATGGTGCATATCACAGACAAACGGATGCTGCCGCTGCCGTCCAAATTTGATGAGAGCTCGGTATGCAAGCAACTGCACTTGTACGTCCGCAGACCGTCCGCAAGATGCCAGATTAAAGCCACATGGGAAAGATCAAGCATGGCGTGGACGCGACAACCTTGATTTACACCTTGACTACAACATCGAATCCAGATCGAGCCTTGGAGACGTTTGGAGGTCGTCGGCGGCTCCGCGAGAGGCTGAGATGGAGCAGTCCCCGTCGTTGTGTTCTGGCATCGATGACTGTTCCAAGTGTGAGCCGCGCACTCCAAAGCCGCACTGGAGGAGGAGCAAGTGGAGGAGAATGCTGCTGGGGTGGTGAAGAAGAAACATCAGTTTCGGGTGGCAGCACGGGCGCACTTGCAGCGATTGGACTCCCTCCTGCAAGACTTCTCTGGCAACGGGTTGGCACAGTTTGTGCCCGAGGAGCACTATGCGAAGCTATATGCCGAGGCAACTGATTCCAAGAAGAAGGCCATGGATGAGATCTCGAACAAGCGGTGAAGACTTGGCAGGTCCTGAGCAACAGATGGCGTGACTTCCCGCCTCAGCTGTCTAGAAGAAGATAGATGTCGGCGAGTAGACCGCGAGCCAACAAGAAAACAAGAATCCGATATCTAGTTATGATAATAGCCCGCAAATGGCCAATCAAAATGGCCTAAAAAGGCCGATGTAAAATGGCTGAGCTGGGTAGGAAAGTACCCAAGACTAATAAACAGCCGAGGGCCCCCCATAGCTTCTGCTCCGGATTTCGACTCAATCAAGCTTTCACAAATTGCCGACCTGACCTGTGCCGTGTAAGAAGGTGTGTCGGGAGTGTTAAGCATATCCCTGGAGTTGACGACAGACAGCCTGCCTTGGTACGGTGAGTACGGGCTTGGGATGGTTGCATGGGGACTGTCACCATCATAGCAAGGCCAGAGACAAGCCAACCAGCAGCTCCACATCCAGAGGACCGGCAATCCTACTCCTGAGGAGACCTAGCCCCACATTGGAACCCCAAGTCCCAAAAAGCCCTCGAATTACTGAGCGCCAGCAGGCAGCAGGCCAGCATGTTGGTCAAGGGTTCTGGCTTCAAGTTGCTCTGCTGAAGCTCAACCGAGGCATGTACAGTGCCTGTGTGCGACTACTGATGATTAAGAGCTGCCCAAGGACAAGCGAACCCACAACCCCGCATCAATCCAGAAGACGGTAAAGTAGCGCAGCATCTTCGCGGGCGCCCTGCGCAATTCATGTGCGATGTGTACCGCTGGTGCTACTCATACTATCCCTATCATGTATCACATTTTTGAGTATTCTTGGGAATTCTACAGTAGTTCTACTATTGCAAGTATGGCTCCTGAAAAGCTCAGATGTCCACGCCTCGCAAAGGGGAAAGCCTTCAACTTCTCTCTCTTGGCAAGGCCAGATGCTTCACACTGCCAGGCTACCTGCACTACCTGCATCCAGCGAACTAGACAAGCTGCAAAGCTGCCGGGCTTCCGCAACAAGGCGATGCCACTGCGACATCATGCTCGAGCACTGAAACGTCGAGCAATACGGATATGCAACAGTCATCGCAGCAACAATTAACAATTGATGATATCAGCAAGGCAACATACGACAGACCGGCCGCCGACTCTACGGCACAAGATCCGCAATGACCGAAAATTTGCAAGCGAAACTAACAAGACATGTTTAAAACTTCCGCTCGGGCCAAATTTCAAAGCACGGAATGAAACTTGTACAGCACGTGAATAAATCGATTGCTCGAATAAATCGATTGCTCGAATTCGTTTTTCTTTCTGTTACGGGTTTGACAATAGGAATATCAGTCAGTATGAATACATAGAATGAGTATGTCTTTGTTGGTATATGAAAGGTTATATTCAAGTGATAGATGAGGAGAAAATGCGCAAATTAATAGTTACAGAACGGTATGGGCGATGTTGTTATAATTTGTTAGAGTTGCTGAAAAACCTGTGTAGGTACATCAAAGTACAATCTAAAGATGTAAATGAATGACAACAAGGAACAAACACAGTGACGATGACAAGAATTGGGGGGGGTATTTCATCTAGATAAAGATTGCACCAACTGCACTTTTGCATGTGTAAGCGTTCTATACTCCACAAGGAGACTGCCATCAACAATGAAGGTAAGAAATTTGTTGAAGACAGGTGTTCATGGCACATAGGTAAAAGAGGTGTACCACCCTCTTATGATGTATTCAAGAATACAACAGATAATGAACAAAGCGGAAGCGTTGAAATATCTTCTACGGGGGGAGGGGGGGGGGGGGCAGTCTCAAGTGACACCCAAAGAATTAGAAGAAAGGGTGGAGAAACTGGAAACCGATGTAAATGAAATCAAATCCCTGAAGTATGCTGGAAAAATGCTAAAGCTTATATGCGAAAGTCACGAAACACTGGCAGGCGTGGTACTTTCACTGTTTGTCGCAAACGAGTTTCTCAACCTGAAGGGGGGGAGGGTCTCCACAGGCTCAAAGCGTCTGCTGTGCCAACTACCTAAGATTTCATATGCATGGTCTGAATACAATCCTAAGGAACCCCAAACCCCTACAAATATGAAGGACCCCACGGACTAAATCCTAAAGACCCCCAAGCAGAAACAACCCCAGACCGTAAACTAACAAAACCAACTTTGATCCCAACAGAAGCCCAAGTCCCCCAGGTCCCCAAGCCGAAAACCCTAAAGAACCCCGAACCCTGATAGTCCCCCCTAAGTAGATAGAATATGGGGTATATGGGGATCTCATTATAAAATACCCAAAGCCATATTCTATCTACTTAAGGGGGACTATAACCATGAAAAATATCAGCTCCCCCAGAAATAGAGGGTTGAGATTGGCAGTGCTGCAGTTGGGCAAATCTTTAGGGGTGTGGAGGTGACCTTAGACCCCTAAACCCTGCTTGCGGGTCACTTGCCAGAAACCTTAAACCCTAAACCCACCCTAAGCCCTAAGCCCTAAACACGAATGCCTACACCTTAAACCCTGAACCTTAAGTCTTAAACCCTAAACCCCCCAAACCCATCGCCTGCAGTTGGAGGCTCTCCGCCTTCACACGGACGAGACGCCCGCAGTCTAGACCCACCTCTTGGGCAGATTCGCGTTTCGTTTGTTTTTTTAGTGCTACGGTTATAGTCACCCTTAAGTAAATAGAATATGGCTTCGGGTACATTAAAATAAGATCCCCACATACCCCATATTCTATCTACTTAAGGGGGACTACAGCCCTAACCCCTAAACCCTATATTCTATCTACTTTTAGGGGAACTCTTCGATTTAGGGTTCAGGAGTGTCGTCTGATCTGCAGGGCTTAGGGGTTTAGGGCTCAGGGTTTGGGGAGGATGCCCCCCAAGCTACCTTGGCACCCCAAAGAGGGCCCCCAATGAAGGCCCCTCAACCCTGAATCCTTACACCCTAAAACCCTTGACCCCCCTGTGCCCAAAATCCCTCGACCCAAAACCCTAAACCCGAAACCCTAAACCCGAAACCCTAAACCCGAAACCCTGAACCCTAAAACCCTCGACCCAAAACCCTCGACCCAAAGCCCGAAACCCAAAACCCAGAACCCTAAAACCCTCGACCCAAAACCCTAAACTTCAGATACTAAACCCTCAAAGCAAGGAGCCCAATACCCCTCAGTTGAAGAGCATGCCTTAAACCATACTAAAGCTCTTCAGGAATCATACAAGAGTCGTGTAGTAGCTTGGACTTGAGGGTATGGGGTCTAGTAAAGTTTTAAGTATCCTTTGACTTGCATCCCAATGTGTAGGGTTCAGGAACTAGCATTGAACCTGGGTACGCACCTTCTAAGACTACTGTCACTTCAACAGGGGGCTATATGGGATCCCATTTTAGTTTGGGATAATGGAACAGGGAGTTTCGCTAGTAGAGCTTAAGGCTTATAGGCCATAACAGTGCGCACATGAGGGATTAGAACTCTTCGCGGCATGACAGTCCCTGAAAACACTGCTGGTCACGCCAGAATGGTGCTTTTGGGGTTGGCATGTTCCCAATTGCGGGATGGGGACTTGGGGCTTCGGACAAAGGCTTGAAAATTAAACCTAAGCTCTCAACGCTAAGCCCTAAGCCCCCAAACCCTCATCCCGAAGCCCTCAACCCTGAGCCCGACTGTTGGCTTCACATTAACGACTACCCCCACATTTATAAAAATCCCGCCGCCAGAACACAAGTATAAGCAGCTCCACAAGTATAAAATCCCGAAAGTGCTAATCTTTTCCAGGCAACGAGTTTAATTGGATTTTAAGTGACTCTAAATATATTTCAAGCCTACATTCTTAGCACTATTATTCCAGGGCTCCCCCAGATCGGAGATAGATCAATCGAGCGGGAGGGGGGGAGGATTCATAGGAACCCTAAACCCTAAACCCTAACATTAAACCCTAAATCCTAAACCCTAAACCCTAAATCCTAAACCCTAAACCCTAACATTAAACCCTAAGCCCTAAACCCTAACATTAAACCCTAAGCCCTAAAGCCCTAAATCCTAAATCCTAAACCCTAAACCCTAAATCCTAAACCCTAAACTATCGGAGGCCTCCAGTCGGCCGGCATCGTTGGCCAGCTGCGTTATCCGGCCCAGCTGGCCGTTGAGCTGCAAGCCGGCCTTGCTGTTTAGGGTTTAGGGTTTAGGGGGGGTACTGCCCCCACCCAGTAACAGTCTATATTAGGGGTCCTATTAAGGGCTATATATAACCATATTAGAATTATTATCCAACTGTTAGAGGGGGGGCAAAGTAGGTAAAATAATAGCACAAAACACCTAAATAATGGCCCAAAAGGCCGTTATTCTACATACTTTTGGGGTTTAGGTAAACCCTAAACCCTAAACTTTGGGGTTTAGGATTTAGGGTTTAGGGTTTAGGGTTCAGGGTTTCGGGTTTGGGGTTTGGGGCTTTGGGTTTAGGGTTTTGGGTTTAGGGTTTTAGGGCTAGACGGAGCCGTTGTGGACCCACCATTTTGGGTCTGTTTGCGCTTAGGTCATTCTGCTGCACGCGCCGGCTCTGGCTTTGGCGGGTAGGGGGTGAGGGTTTAGGTTTTAGGGTTTACGGCCATGGGCCTCCTACCTAGTATCTACCCTACACCTCTGCGTATATGTACCCTGAAACCCCCAAAAAAAGCCTGCAGGTCAATCTACTTCAAATCTCAGAGCCATTCGAAGGTTTAGGTTTGCTGTAATTAGGCCTTTGCGCATGGCTTCGAGTTTAGGGTTCAGGGTTCAAGTTATGTGGCTGGGGAGGGGGGTTAGCTTTAGCTTTCAGGGACACCAGCCCTCAGACTCTTGGCACCATCTGTCTCCGTCCTTTGGGTCAAGGCAATTGACAAAGACCTACCGGAGAATTCTCTGGCAAATGACGAGCTCGACACCCCTAAACGCAAAGGAGTCTCAAGAAGGGCTGATTGGAGAGGCCCACAAAGAACTCGCAATGTAGACCAGTCAAGAGACAAGTGGAGAAAGTGAAACTTCAAAATACCC